GACAACAATAATAAACAACAAATCATAGCCACAGCCCATGCTTTATGATATACACCAATCAAGTGTGTTATTAATGCCAATGTTAGAATGGTAAAACTAAAACTTTGTACACCAATCATTAGTACGCACTCACTCGTAGCGTCCTTGTGTTCAGAATGCTGACATTACGTTTTTAATGTGTGTGCACAAGAATGGTGCAATAGTGCTCAAGGTTATGTAATCCATGAGCCGCAGCCGACCGAGAGCGTTATTGCATCATCTAAGTGCACCACACGAAGTCAGCAAGGTGTTTTTTGTCCAGTGACTAGCGCTATCTTCGGATGTCAGAACAACCTTGCATCCACATTTAGGCAACCAAGCCTGGAAGTGCTACAAACTAAATTTGCATTATCTATTCATTGCACACTTAAGTGTATTTTGCATGATTTAATGCATACACAGTTTGCACACCTGATTGGTCAGAAATCATGTGACCAGCAATAGGATTGTGTTTGTGCCTATAACTTACCCTTCTTCTAACAACGAAACTTGGTAATGTTCTATGATAAGAGTTCATCAAAACAATTGATCTTGATGGTTGTACAACACTACCTCAAAGATAAAGGAAAACAAAGTAGTGTAGCTAACTACTGAATAAGTAGACAAAACAAAAACACAAATAAAGAGAGAATTGAGAGGTTTACCTCTGACTTGGCTGTCACAAGCTCAACCTAACATCATGAGTGTGCATTCCCTAACCCTGCCACACCACTTAACACACTGCATGATACTATTCCTATATACCATCCTGTCAACTGTAGCCTGATGCCAAGCAATATGCATAATATTTGCACTGGCTTACCTCGACCTGATCTGCTTGCTCTGTGTACCTTGGAGGCTCAAGAAGTCACAACAAAGGGTATGTGTATCGTCCCCCCATGCTATCTACTAGTTAAGCTAGCCTGTGTCAGACTCTCCTGCAGCTAGTAGTAGCGGGAGACCACAATAAATGCATACTCATATCACAACCCATCAATTAGCAGTACGGTGAATGCCCAGTGCGCTGAGGGTTTGCACTTCAGTGCTTTTTATTAACCCTCGGCGTGCATGCGCAGCGAGCGTTACTGTAGTTGTCGTGTGTGTATCTGTAGTTGTCTGTCAGTCAGTCAGTCAGTCAGGCCATTCCACCACATCTTACTTCACGAGCCATCAATCGCTCCACAAACAATACCACGTGTTCAGCGTCGGGTATAGGTCGAAAAATGGTTTTCTCTAAAACTGCTGCATTCGGGAGTTACGGCGTGAAACACGAGCGAAAAAGCCAATATGCTAATTATAACAGGCTTACCTCGTGCGGGTCCGCTTGCTCTGTGTGCCTTGAAAGGCACAAGAAGTCACAACAAAGGGCCTGCATCGACTCCCGCATGCTATCTAGTGCTGTAGCACCCCGTGTCAGACTCTCCGCAAGCTACTAGCGGGAGGGAGACCGCGGAGTAAACACATACTAATAGCCCAGCCCATCAATTAGCGGTACCACACGAGCGCAGTTCGCCGAGGGTTTGCACTTTAGTGCTTTTTCATTTGAATAGGTTTGCCGAGGAAGACAGTGGATCAAATATCCTATTTGATGAGAGAGAGGAAGGAAAATTTAAGAGTAGTAATGAAGCTCTTATCAAGGCCTGTACCATCCACAAGCTGATTGAGAGACTTACCTACCATGAGTATGCAGGTTAGATAAAAATATTTATTAGCAGTGGTGTTTTGAGGAGGCAATTTTACTATTGTTTCTGTTTCCACTAGATCCAACACTTGTTCGTACTTTCCTTATGACGTACCGTTCATTTTGTTCTCCCACTAAACTCCTTGATCTTCTAATTGAGAGGTATATACGTAGGATTTGTTGAGATTGCTGTCGGTGTTCAGCCTGAATTGAGCGCACTGTTTGATAGTGCATTTCTAGCGAGTGAATACTCAGCAGAGATAAAACAATGGGTGTTTTTATCTATGTATGCATTCAGACTGCAGAGTGTCTTTAGTTTGAGTCTCACCCAAGGCAGTTCTTTTTCTCTCGAATAAAACTAAGTGTTTTCCTAGGTTGATTTGTTTGCTTCGTAGCTGATTTATAAGTCACGTATGTTAAAATTACTAGAGGAATGCAACGCATTTTTGAAGAGCAAAGCGAGCAGTTGATTTCACACATATTTAGAACCACATAACAGTACATTATAACATTGCGGTATGTGGCAGTGTCCGTGCTTGCCAATTAGCCTTGTTCCCAGGCCTTTTGCGAGAAATAGTAGGCTTGGCACACACTGTCCTTGTAGGCGTCGAACAGACATCACAGCAAATTAATTATTATCCAAGATTCATAATGTGACTCACCTTCTGGTATTCTCTATCTGTTTAGAGAGTGCTCTATTATCACTCCTATTGTTCAAGGGAGTGTTTATTTTGGGGTATAAATTCATAAAAATTTGTTTACCTACAGATTTGAAATACCTCTGCCTGAAGAGGCAACAGACTTAGACACCAAGAAAGATCCACTTATGATGAAAGCTGTCAAGGTTTTCAAATCTTACTACTTGTCTCCAATCCAGCTCAGGTTCATTGTAAAATAAGTTTTGTGTGGTCCTCGTGGCATATGGGGCATATGGGCTTGTAGAATTATATTTGTTATCCAAATGCTCAAAGATTCACCTAATGAGTGATGTTTGGGTACCTATCACTACTGAGTGCCATATTTCTATAGTTTGCACTGGTGTATAAGTTCCGTCACTGTGAATACAGTAAACCATACTGGTCGTAAGTCCTTCAGATTTTATAATGATCGGTGTAAAATGTGTTTATACATGCCTCTACTGTCAGTCTGCTCCTTTATATTAAGTGATGGTTTTATGCAATAGCACAGAGTTTGGGGTTTGCTTTTTCCTTGTGTTATTGTATTGCCAGTCTTCAAGCCACCGAGCTGCCCTAGTGCTTTCTGTGGCAGGTATTACTTACTTGCTTTATGCTTATACCTTCTGAACTAATCAGGGATTGTCACCAAGATTTAGACACTTTCAGCTGCCGACTCTAAATACGTCAGCGTACTACTGTAATATGAATATACCAAAACCATGTCACTAACCGATGTATGTGTGGTTGGGTAAAATGAGCATTCCATGCCAAGTAGGAAAAAACCTGATGATACTGTGTTCCTCAGTTAAATTTATAGTAAATATTGTAGAGATTCTGGCGATTACATCTGCATACGTAGTAATCGGTGTTCACAAAAGTGCCCTGTAATCGCACATTTGTTGGTCAATCACACTGTAATCAAAAGGGCGTGGCAACGACAATAGCCGAGTGAGCGATCGTGCATAATGTGAATTTGATCACATGGTTTTGGAGGGATGAATCACACTCGTAAGCACGTTGTAGGGACTAAAATTGCACTAGGCGCAGTCTGTTACAATGTGCCTACTTGTGTGATTAATCCCAAATCACACTCTGAACTATTCTAATTACCCATTGTTTGACAGATGAATACAGTGCTTTCAGACGTTGTATGGAGTTTTTAAGAACCAGTGTCCCCACTCAATAAAGCAATTCCCCTTTCATCCAGACACAAGACACATGCAACACTAGAGGCAATGTGCTAAAAAGCTTGATTGCAATAGATTGGGATGGTCTACTTTTAAATGGAGACACTTGGGAATGGGATGGTAACTAATTGGCGAGCGGGAGCGAGCTAACCTAGTGGTCCAAACGGCGCGATTTTTCTATATATATATACGACCGCGTACGTCGTGTAAGTGCGCATGCGCGGCTTCGTTACGCGCTTCTTTTTATCCGAAATCATTTCCAATATTTTTTTCACAAGTGCTACGTACCTGCGCAGCGTCAGGATAACGCGCTTCTACACGCTGCTATGATGGCTCGTGCAGATACAGTCATTGTGTGCTCGCTCCCGCTCGCCAAAAATGCCATGCATTCGCCTACTAGTTATCATCACATTCATTATCTTTTTAATTCATTCAGGGTGGTGAATGTTCTGAGGCACTGGGTAGACTTCCACTACTATGACTTTCAGAGGGACCAAGAGCTCCTTACACGACTGCACACATTTATAACATCTGTGAAGGGCAAAAAGATGCAAAAATGGGTGGCCGCTCTAAACAGAGCACTAGACAAGGTATACACCTATTTAATATAGAGACCTGTATTCGTAGGGATAGCTTAGACCCCCAACCCTCATTAGTTAATGTGGTTGGTTTTGGAGGTGTTGTGCAAGGGTCACTATTGCTCATTTTTGCACTAATTACAGGGCACACTATTCATTACCAGGCCAAGGGGTTAATTAGCTCGCCCCTGTTAATTGACATGCCATGCTTGCCCCTTTTTATTGAGCCTAAGGCACAAAACATTACCTTATTCACCCCACCCCTTTATTGGACCCCGTGGTATCCAGCCAGCAAGGCTCACTACCCACCCCTAGTAAGCTGGGCCACCAGCTTACCCCCATGCTCCGTAACCCCTATCCAACTCTTTCAATTTTTAACAAACATCATACTGATCAATTTGTGGAGGAGCAAGTGCCTGTGAAATAGGGTCTGGATGAGCGAATCTTCCAAGCCCTGTTGTGCAGCAGTAGTAGCTGCCCCAATCCTGAACGAATGTCTGTTGTATGCTGTATCATCCATGCCCGCCTGCTGGAGTGCTGCCTGAAGGTTGTAAACTAGATAGCTTCTAGTGTGTGGGCTCCTGTGGAAAGTATGAAGAGAGGTCCTGGGGTTGCAGGGCAGACGCCTATGTATTGAATGAAAGCCTGGACCGGCATATTGCCGTACCCAAACCACCTAGGAACACTTCCACGCCAAATCTGAAGGGGTCTGTCTTGCTCTGTTTGATACGTATATAGCCGCGCCATAGTCGGGTTGGTGTGGCTGTCCAGGACAAAATCATTCAGGTTTAGGTGTGTTTCTGAATCGTATGCCTCTGCCGATGAGACCATAAATTCTTCTGCATGAGGAAACCCAAAAAGCCAACACATGCGGCTGCCCACAGAATTATGCCATCAGTTCCTTGGCGGGGTCAGCCAGTGTTCCTTTAATCGTTGTAGATTATCGATGGTGATTGGCAATCTAGTCGTCGGTTGGGTTCCTCCTCTCGCCTAATGAACCTGTTTAATGTCTGTGAGGTTTGGGCAGTGGAGCTCCAAACGGGTTAACCATGTCTTTCTATATCTGCAGGCACCGGATGCCCAACAAGTAGGACTTGATAGAGTGGTGCCTCAGGCCCTCTCTGGCGAGGAAGGCTACATATCGGCAGAGGGTATCTTCCTGTAAAGGGTATGGGGCCTGGATCCCTAGGTTTATGCAGAAGGCTGCATAACGGTGCTGTGCTGTCCTGTGGAAGGTGCAGTGCAGTTATCCAAGAAGTACTCAACAGCAATATCCAGTTGGGAGACGTCCAACGTAGATTGCGATTTAACACCAGCTCCTGCAGCTCTGGGGGGATGATCGTTGGAGCAGGGGATGCATGTGGGTTGAGAGAGAAAAACAGCTCGAGTCAATTGTGGGTTTTTGTGCTCCTGGTAAATGCCGTGCTGTACGCCATGAACGCCAATGTCCTGAGGAGGTGCGATAGGGTAAGGTCATTGGCGGAACCTTTATTCAATGTCATGACCACCGCAATGTTGTCGCAGAGGCACTGGACCTATTTCCCCACCCATAGTGGACCCCACAGTGTGGTAGCCACCACTATTGGAACAAGCTCTTTTGGGGCAATGGTGACTGATGACCATGACTCCGGCCATTGTAGCTGAAACCACAGATTTTCATGGAAGGCTCCACACCCCCATGTGCCAGAAACATCAGAGACCACCAAGAATTGAGGGGATCCCATTCCAGGTCCTGAGGAATGCATGCCACCGAGGTGAATCCGATGATTGAGGTCTTGTACCATCGTGGCTGCATCGATGAGACTCCGATGGAATGCCCTCCCAGGTCTAACTACTGTCGCTCCATGGTACCAAGTAGGAAGAGCAAGTCTCTCTTCGTGGCTGACTAGGAGCTTCTCCTGAGGAAGGCGAACTTGTTGTCAATCTCTATTCCCAGAAAAGTAAGGACTGTCGTGGGACGTTTTGTCTTTTTCTCTGCCACCGGAAATCCCAACAGCGTAAGTCTAGCATGCAGCGCCTCCTTGCAGACTGGCTGCCCCTGGGGGCCTAAGACCAGGAAGTCGTCTAAGTAGTGGAGCGCAGCGTGGACACCTGCTATTTAGGACCATCATCATAGCGTCGGTCAGAGCTGAGAATAAGGGCCTTGTCCAGGTATGTTTTGCCGCTGCGCTCCATGACAATGCAAGAAGGCGTTGATCTGAAGGGTGTATTGGGACTGCCCTATAGGCCTCTTTGAGGTCGAGTTTTGCTAACAGGGCGCCCTTTCCAAGCAAGCTAGCCAGACCAATGGCATTGTCCAGGGAGGTGTATGACACTGAGTAGAGGGGAGGGGAGGTCGACGATAAGACGCCATTTTCCGGGCTTATGCTTTTTGGATATAGCGCCGAAGGGGCTAAGTTGTAGGAGCGGAGGTGCCGGTGAGTGAGAGGAAGGTACCCAGATCTACCTCACGCGCCAGGTGTGCTGAGATGCCGTCTTGTCTCTCGTACGCTGAACTGCAGTTACGTCATGTTGGCAGGAAGTGAGCCCCTTCAAAGCCGCTCATGAGGCGTCGCAGCAGGAATTCAGTAGAAGCTCCATCCGCAATGGAATTCAAGCCGGCACTGAGAGAGGTGAAGGATGCAGTGTTGCAAGGGTATAGGAGGGACTGGAGGGGTTTAGACGCGAGTTCCAGCTCCAGGAGGTCCTTTGTAAATCAGTAGCGGCCCTTTTGCTCCATCTGAGAATGAGGTGGTCTGGAAGGGGGAGAAAGGGGGGAAAGGTAGCCTGAATAATGGTGTACCTAAAGACCTAAGGGTCCAGCATGTGATCTGACTGTACGCTAGCAATTACTCACCGTCTTGCTCGCCGAGCAGATATATACATATATACCCATGTATACTGGTGTGTTCGTGTTTTTAGCTACGCTTCTAAGCTAAACAGGGTATATGGTCAGTTCTCAGTTCTCCGATCGAGTTAGTCCCGCGTAGTTGCCGGGGGCAAATGCTTGTTTGAGACCGGGGTGCTGGTGAAAGGGCGCTCCTTGCAGGCCGTGGCAGGGTGAGAGCCATAGCAGTTCCCACAGACCTGGGCATACGAGCATTTCCCTGGGAATTGGCAGTTACCATTATTCCACAATGCAAATGGGCCTCTGCGGCCGAAGGTACGGGGCCGGCTGCTTTCCTTTAGATGAACGCTCTCGCCCACTAGAGGTTGACTGAGAGCCCGATGAGCTCTCACTAGATTTGGGCAGGATTGACTCCACTGTGCCCCGTGCCGTCTGAGGAGGGTGGTCGGTCTCGTAGCAGTGCTTGCAGGGGACAGTCACTTTTGTTCGGTGATTAGCTACAAACACCTGATGCAGAGAGGGGTCGATGTGGGGCTGACTTTCCCTCATGGTTACGTCGAAAGACTACATCATATGTTAGCCACCCATTACCCCCAAACTTGCTGGCCTCGCAAACAATCAGTCGCCTATATGCCAGCCAGTCACTAACACGTCCCAGGTGAGCCTCAGCCACAATAGCGACATAAGTAGCGAATGATGAAAAACCCATGTCATGAGCGCCTTGTCGCCCGAGATCTCCCTCTCGCCTGGCAGCTTTGGAGGGGCTAGGCCTTGAGAGAGAGCTGCCAGTCATTCTGCAAGGACGAGGTTGTCAGGTAGGAGCTCCCTCATATCGACGTATTCAAGCGCTTGAATATGGGTAACCAACTTGACTGGGATTGGCACAATGCTGTTCGCTACATGGTATGCTTTTGCTTTCTTTGACTCTGCCTTGTGTCTGATGCCATCCTCCAGATCCAGGGGGCCCTAGTGAGACCCTCGGAGTAGTGGTTGTGGATGTTGTGTTCCCCCAGTAGCCCTCAATGACGCAGGGAAGAGAGGAATACTTGGTTGGGAGACAGGCAAAGTAGCTGCTGCACTAGGGCCTGAGGTATGGTTAGGACAGAAGGGGCTGGTCATGAACGGAGACATGTGCCGCGATATTACACACCTGTCGCGCGTGCTGGTTTGCGCTGTGTGCTTACGAGTCCGTTGTCTCTTCCTTAGCTTATATAGGTATTACTACATGGCTCACCTCCACTGCCCGTTGGGTGGGGGAGAGCAGTCGCCACCGCTGCAGCAACCTCCTCCTGTATGATTCTGTGTACAGCCTCCACTGTCAGCGCCGGACTTTCGCTTGTCCCTGACGAAGTCGGATGTGGGGATCGCCACGAGGGGTCGCTATCTTCCACCAACGCCGGTGGTCAGCAGGAAAGAGAACTAACAGAAAAGTTCCTGCCAGAACTGAGCCCAACGAGTTCCTGCCGGAACTGCTAGCCGTTTGTGCTGCAAAAAATTGCTGCCGCCATGCCTGCCACGTGGTTATCTGCCCCAGCGCATGCGTATTCGCTAGCCAGTGTGCATGCCCGGTGATCAACCTTGCTAATCGGTCTGCTGCCATAACCTTCAAGCATTTTCCAGATTATCCTTGCTGGGTGTTTTCCAGCTTGGCAGATGAGGCACATGGCGGGCGGGAGTACTGAGCCACTATTTCCCCCGCCACACCTTCAGCACTCATATTTCCTATATTAACTCATTAAACATCATACTACTAACGTGGGGAATGCAAAGACTTGTGTAAGACAGTCTGATTATACTTAAATCTGTGATAATTGCAGAAGCCCTGCCAGTGGCATGTTACACTCACACTCTGTCGACACAGAGTAGAGGGCTTTTCTGATTTTTAATATTATCTGCGAATTACTATCAAGGACGTCCTTTTTTTGTAGAAGAGAGATGAAATCCCATCTGCCACTAAACCTGTATTCACCAAAAAGCCCTTGCCAGTGGAATGGTGGTTGACACAGAAACCTGAAGAGTTCAACCTTTTGTCGGTAGGTTGAATAGACAGATACCTTTATACATATTGACTGGTTTGTATGATTTTCTCAAAGGTGCATTACTGTACACTCAGTTAATGCACTGTACAAAAGTCATAATGGGCACACCTTCTCTTCCTCACTTATTTTTTATCCTCTCTTCTCCCCCTCTTTGCTCATCTTTGGATGTGGCCATCGTGCAAAGTCGTAAGATGTAGACTTAGCCGGAGCAGCTGAAAGTCCCATGCCTTAGCAAAAATGGGAGAGTGGTGCAGGTGTATAGGTGGTCAAAGCACTGAATGACTAGGCAAAGGCTAATGGGGGTAGGCAGAATTTATAGGGAGAGCTAGGTGAGAGATGTTTATCAAAACCTAATGTAGCTGTAATCACAGGATATTAACCAACCTAATTGCAGAGCATCTTTGCACCCTATAAACCACCTTCAGGAATGCTGCATGTTTCCATGTGCTTGTAGCACAGTAGTAAAACATTGCATTAGCTTAGCCTTTGTTACTCACTGCCTTGAACTCCTTTGCAAACCTGCTTCTTGTAAATTAGATGCCTATAACACTGGTTTCGGTACTGCACATTAGAGGAGTGTAGTACCAAAGCCAAATTTGTAGGCATGCTGTTGACATTGGTTAATATCGTGTGCCCTTACTAGTCGGACAGTAGAAGTGTAAGGTACAGAAGCAGGAATCTTGAGTTTTGTTACTGAATCCTAGTTCACTTCTGCTCCTACTTTATTGTTGGTACATTTTTTGTATACCTTATCACTGTAGTTACATCCAAAAGATATTGCTCGGCAACTGACCTTGATTATGGCAGAGAATTTTCATGCAATTCATCCATCTGAGTTAGTTGATGCCTCCTGGATGAAAGAGAAGAAGAAAGAAATGGCCTCTCCAAATTTACTGAAGCATACCAGATTTGAGACCATGGTATTTTATGTGTTCTGAATCCATTATGTGTGTCCCTGTGTAATCCATACTTGTTGCTTAACTTCTCGTAAATATGTTGTAGGTGTCACATTGGCTGGCAAAAGAAATCGTCTACACTGAAAATTTTGAGGAGCGGGTGACCTTAGTTTCTCGTTTAATTGACATCATGGCTGTGAGTCATATCTACACTGTGTGCATAGTTCAGTAACCACATTTTATAGGAGATGAGAAGTCTCAACAATTTTGCTGGATTGTTTGCTGTTAATGCTGCCTTCCAATCTTCATCTGTGTTTAGACTGACACATACCCTGAAGGTATGTCAAAACCCTATTGTGACTTTAAAACAGAAGCTCTTGCATGAATTACTGCAATGCTGTTAACTCTGCAAGTATGTATGATCACTGGTAACACACAAATATGTATAGGCAACAGATGCGCTCTGTTTACTAGCCTAACTGATGTCCTAGAATCACCCATTTTACTCCCTCTAGCCCTGGCACACACTTTATCCCTTTCTTATCCATGAAAGTACCTTGCATACTTTGCACAAACTGCATCAAAATAATGAAAACCACTAAAGTGCAAACCCTCGGCGAACTGCGCATGCACGATACTGCTAATTGATGGGCTGGGCTATTTGTATGCATTTGTATACTCGTGGTCTCCCGCTAGTAGCTCGCGGAGAGTCTGACACTGGCTAGCTACAGTAGTGGATAGCATGCGGGAGTTGATACATACCATTCGTTGTGACTTCCTGAGCCCCCAAGGTACACAGAGCGAGCGGATCAGGTCGCGGTAAGCCCAGTGCGATTATGCATATTGGCTTTTTCGCTTGTTTTCACGGCATATCTCTCGAACTCAGTCGTTTCATCCTTTTAGTTTTCACACTTGCGTAGTTCTGAAGCCGCTGGTATCGCTAATAGGCCGCCTCGTAGCCTGTAGTGCCAGAATAAGCGTTGACACACAGACAGACACACAGACAAACCAACTACTGTAACCCTCGCTGTGCATGCGCGCCGAGGGTTAATGAGTCGTGGGAATTGTGATTTTTGTACATTTGTGTGCTTCTTTCTATGCGCTTGCAATAATGAAGAGAGGGGTAACCACAAAAGGTATGAGCAGCCAACCAGCAAATCACCCATGTGTCCCGCTACTTCCTAAATGAAATGGCAAACCCTCGGCACAGAACCACTATTACTTGAGTGATAATTTTAACATGTAGTGTAGCAAAAAGCTCGTGGAGGTGCAATAATAATGAAAAGTACTAAAGTGCAAACCCTCGGCGGTAAACTAGCGAGTTGTAGCATCGCTGTATGCTGGGCCGTGCGTCATCGACGGAGCCAGTAACACGAGTCTCACCGTAACACAGGGTAGTTGCATTAGCGGTTAGAGCAATAGCTCAGGTGTTTCAGAGGCTCTCATATTCGCTTATTCAATCTATCTGCTCTTCTGTGTTTCAATGCTCTCGCCAGACGTTTTATAGATGGGAAGGCAAGGCCGCAACCACAAACTGCTCGCCACCTGAACTATTATGCTACATTGCGAACATACCTTGCTCAGCATGTTTATCGTTTATCCATAGGGAACAGAGATAAAAACTGACAGGAGGCCGTGGATCGTATATACAACCAATGTGGCGTAGCGCATGCTCCGGCGATTAATTGACATGACACGTGCGCGCTATATAGCTAGCCTGCAGGAGAGGGCGCGTGCGTGATCGACCGTGCGTTGGCTTTTTCGCTTGTTTTCACGCCATATCTCTGGAACGCAGTCGTTTCGGAAAAACCGCCACATTCATATCAATCTTCTTGTCGTTCACAACCTGTTGGTGCCACTCATTGGCCGCCTCGTAGCCTGTAGTGCTAGAACTCGCGCGGACAGACAGACAGACAGAACGACTACTGTAACCCTCGCTGGGATAAAAAGAATGGGAGACTAGATAGAGATGGGATACATGAAGCATGGTTAATGAACAGATTTGAGCACGCTAACACCCCAACCCCATCACAAAATCCCTATATTGTTGCCTGGTGTGCTACCTACTCATATAGGGAATGTGGCATTATATAAGGCCTGAAGGTTACTAAAAGCTTTCACCGTCCCCGACTTTCACAGATATATACGTAGTAGTATATAAAAAGGAGTGGAGACAAGTAAATCAACACTATGGGCGCGTAATTGCTCCGCAACACCACGTACCACTTTAGTGGCGCGGAATTATGTATTACGCGGATGGGCGTGGCAATATTCCGCGCATGCGTAATTCCGCGTACGCGGCGCGCAAAGTGGTTAATAATTTTTTAAAAAGAGGGGGATACATGAAGCATGGTAAATGAACAGATTTGAGCACGCAGACACCCCGATCCCATTACACAATCCCTATATTGTTGCCTAGGTGAAGTATTAAACATTCACCATTACAATACTGAGAAATATAATGCTACTGAATAAGCAACACCTATAGAATCCAAGTGGAGTTTAATAAAAGGGAATATGGTAGTATAAAAGTAGAAATGTTACTAAAAACAAGGGGTAATAGAGAAAAATGACTGTTGTTCTCATGGAAATGATGTAATACGCATGTGTACCAAGTTTCATCACCATGTGTGCTGCCGTTAGCAAGTTTGAGGAGTGAAGAGTGCCTGAAGCTATTTGATGTTGTTCAAACACTAAGTGGTCGTCATGGAAACATTAAGTTGTCATGGAATGTTGTAACATGCATGCATACCAAGTTTCATCTCTATGCGTGCTACCATTGGCAAGTTTGAGGAGAAATGCCTGAAGCAATATGTAGTTGTCATAGAAACATGTGGTTGACATGGAAATGATGTAATATGCATGTGTACCAAGTTTCATCTCCATCCGTGCTATAGCGAGTTTAACATTAAATGATCATTAATGTGAGACTTGGGGAGTGCGGGGCATTGGCAGGTAGGCAGGCAGGGGCGGCAAAGTGAAGAAGTAAATTTTAAGAAAATTGCCTGAGGCTATTTGTTGTTGTTGAAACAAAGTGGTTGTCATGGAAATAATGTTACACGCATGCCTGGGACTCTTTGTTGTTATTAACAAACATGTATATAATTGTTGTGATTTGATGTTGGCTATTGAATACACGATGTATACAAACTTTCGTTCACATAAGCTCTTACCAATTTTGAGTTACACTGACACATGTAGTATGCCCATTATAATGTATTGCCTATGGCAATTTTGTTGTTTTTTACAGTAAACAGTATGACGTTGCACATATGGTATCGATATGTACAGTCGTTTCGGTTTTGAGTTATGCTGGCTTAAGAAGAAGATGATGAACAATACTCCCTATCATAGCGCCATACATCTATGATGTACGTGCCCATCTCTATCACTAAGTGATAGAGATGGGCACGTACCTAGCATCATAGATGTATGGCGCTATGATATGGAGTTTTATTCATCTTCTTCTTCTTCTTCTTCTCCTTCTGCTTCTCCTTCTCCTTCTCCTTCCTCTTCTTCTTCAGATTCAACACCCATAACTCAAAAATGAAACAACATAAAGTAATGATATTTTGTAAGAATGTAGATATCTGTCACCGAAGAGACTGGTCATACTTATTTATATTTAAACAACATTATTTACTGTAAACAACAACAAATAGCCCCAGGCAATACATTATAGTGGGTTCACATGTGTCAGTAATAATAATAATACTCAGGTGGCTGCCATAGCACTAGGGCCATAGACCACGCACCCAGAGCAATGGGCGGAACCGTTAACACACGAACATACACCATATGAACATGAACATGAGCATGAGGTGTCTGTCTCGAACGAACATACACCATATGAACATACGGTGTCTGTCTCACCTCCCAGACACCTCAACTCACCCCTTCCACCAGCGACACCCTGCAGCTCCCCAGACGCAATCTGAGACTGGGTTTGTTGTACACAGGGACTATCGCCGTATAACCTAACCTTTCTTAGCTCCCAAACATCCAAAATAAAATCTTTAACAAGGCCAAGCAAGAACCAAAATTAGTCCTCCCACAGTTCACTACCCAATATAAAGGATGCTTTCCTGAAACTATCAAGCGACTGGAAATGCTCAAACCCATCATCCCCAAGCTTCCCCTGCAGGGCAACTAAGAAATTGCTCCTAAGACTACTATATGCTGGACACTCCCACAACACATGACTCACACTTTCACACTCATCATCACACAACAGGCACTCCTTCACCCCCTCCCTCCCCCTATGCCTACCCAGTTCCTCATTTAGCCCATGCGTGCCTGACCTGAACTTAAACATTAATCTAGACCCAGCATCACTTTTCCCATGCAAGTACTTTTTGAACTCTACCACCTTGTTAAATGTCTTATACAATAACAGCTTTACTTTGCTATTTAGCCCCTCTTCAAACTTTCTAATCTCCCTCTCATTAATACTGTCCCCTATTATAGACAGAAAGCCCTTCAAGGAGCAATCCCCATTTTGAATATCCTGCAACCACTCTGCCTTGTCAAGACCTAATGACGAAAAGAGATCATCAATGACCTTACTCCAACCCTTCCTCTGCCTGCCTCTCCGTGGCTTAAAATTCCATTCCTGATTAAAAAGCTTCTTCGGATACCTATTGCCTGGCAATGCCGCTAACTTATACCACCACTTCAACTTATTCTTATCCCTACGCCCTTGTAACGTATCAAGCCCCATATCCCCCCTAACGGCTTCATTACATGTCTTAGACGAACACCCAAGAATGCGCTTAGCTCCTCCCAGCATAACGGACTCTAATGAAGCTGCCTGAGTCTTATTGGCTTCTCACACCTCACCCCCATACTCTAAAGTTGGCCTAACCACCGCCAGCAACAACAACCTGCGAGCACTCAAATTAATATCCCTATTACTAATTACACTATGCAACTGATTAACCTTCCTTCTACCATTGTGTAACACATTCTTGATATGCACATCCCATGCACCAGTACTAGTAAAATCAATACCCAAGTATGTGCATTTAGATACTTTAGGCAAAACATACTCCCCCCATTTCAAAGCACCATCCACTGACTCCCTAGCGAGCACCATCACTGCACTCTTACTCACATTAGCCTTTAGCCTCCATTTCCGACAGTAAGCATGCACCACATCTGTAACTGATCCTAGACTCACTAACACCAACGAAGTCATCTGCAAACAAAAGACCTCCAAGACTCCCACCACTACTTAAATTGATCCCAATCTCAGCTTCTTCCACCTCCCTCAACAATCCATTGATAAATACGGAAAACAAAATTGGAGATAAGCTACATCCCTGAGCTACCCCCTGTTCCACGTCAAATGCCTCTGACCGTTCCCCATCCAACAATACAGCACTCTTTGAATACTCGTACATCTTCTTTATGACCCTCCACATCTTCCCTCTTACCCCAAATTCCCACAACTTAAACCACAGGCCGTTACGCCACACACTATCGTATGCCTTATGCATATGTCTCC